TATCAATGTATAATGAAGTAATCTTTAATACCAATTAGGTCTTATCCTCATTGATGTCCCTTTACAGGGCTTAAATGCCCAATGTTCATATACGTCTTCCTCTAAAGTACCTTTAATATGGTTTATATTATAATGTTAATCATTTCAAATTATTCAGAGTTACGAAAAAATGCTAAATATAACTTTTGAAAGAATTTGATAAGTTAATAAAGAAGAAAAAAATAAAAATGCAGAAAAACATGCGTTGCTATAGACTGCAGCGCCTAAACGAATGAACCGATTTCAATGAAACTTCGCGTAAGTCATTTTCTCGACACCCTTTAAATTTATCTGTATAATATACTTCAACGAAAAGAAGCTGGAAAAAAAGTTACGAGGGATGGTAAAATTAAATTCCGAATAACCCAAAAAGTATACACTTTTTTGTTGATATTGTATATGGTTTTTTAAAAGTTTAAGGAATTTTCTAAAAAACAAAAAAAATTCGTTAAAATCGGACAATTAGGAGGAAAGATATGGTCTGTAGCTTTTTTTTTTAATATGTTCAGCTTCAAAGCTTATATCTTTTGTTTTGGTTTTTGAATTTTGTTTTAGCATATTACTAATGATTAAAAAAAAGTTTAGTCCAATAATTGGAATCACTTTAATTTTGTTTTATTTTTAACTTAAGGTAATGATACTTTAGATGTATAATTGTTATTGAAATATAGTAAACTATTGTGAAATAATTTGCAGAGTTTTTTATATACAGTGCATATTGTTGACTGGTTAATATTCATTTTTTTTAATGTTATTATGTTTTTTGTTGTATAAATGTGCTAATGTCCAATAGTAAGTCATCTGAAAGGATATTTTATCTTTTTGTTTTCAGATGAAAATTTAAAATATACCGTAAAAACAGATTTTATCCCGGAAGAGGCGAAAATTTGGATAAATTTAAAATATACTTTTTTAATTGTTGAGACTAAAAAAAACCTTTTTTCTACAGATATTTAATAAAGTATCTTTCATAAGAAATAGGTACCTAAATTCATACCTTTTTCACCGTTCTATATTTCAACACTGCAATCACCACCTCCGGAATCAACTTACTCACTGTCTGCATAGATAACTTTTTCAACTAAAAATATCACTAAAATGACATTATTAAAAAATGTTGAAATTGGAGTTGGAGTCATTCTGTGGTTTATAAAAGCAAAGAAAGTTGTGTGGTTTATAAAAGCAGATGGAGTGACTAAATTTTTATTGCCTACCGTCGATATATTAAATAGACATTTTGTAATTATAATGGTCTTAATGAGTTGTTATCTATAAGCTTTAAGGTTTATCTCTGTTTAAAATGCATTTAAAAAAATGTTATAATAGCCCAGCATTGCCAGAAAGTAATTGCTATTCAAAGTAGAGCGGTAAGTGAAAGTTGTATGTTGCGCGCACCAGATTTTTTTTTTTACAACGGTAATAGAAGTCATTGAAAAAAATTAGGAGGTTTCAAAACTCTGATGGTTATATAAATTGGCTTGTACGTCGGATGCTTTAGAAAGAAGGGTATCTATCTAATATAAGAATTATCATTTGGGTATACAAAATATCATTATATAAATAGGCAAACACAAAACGGTTCAGCCCCTTTTTCTCCTCCTATTATTCAACCGATTTTCTTCCTTCTTTTTTTGTTTAATAGCTATTGACAAGCTTTAGTGTTATCAATAAATAAAAATATGAAATAGTTTGTAAATAAATATATAAATGGTAGTTTGTTCAAAACAGCTAATCTCCGAAAGTTCTTCACCGATTTCTTTGAAATTTTGACACAACGTCGCAATAATATTTAGAAGTGTTTTTGTATACGTTTCATTATCATCAGGCCTTTCCTTTCGAAATGGCGGCCGAAAAACGTGATTCGCTTTAGACTGTAGCGCCAATACGGCTTTAACGATTTTAATGAAACTTGGCTAAAGTCTTCCCTTGAAACATTTATAATTTATGTATATAACATACTTTCCCGAAAACAAGCTGCATAAATTTTTATGATGAATTCAGTATTTTATTTGCGAATAACTCAAAAAGTACACATTTTTTATTGATAATAGCAATATTTATTTGAAAGCTTCCTGAATTCCCTACAAAATAAAAAAAAATCATCGAAATCGGACTATTTGTTGTAGAGATATATCATTTTAAACATTTAGTACTTTTTCTTTTGCAAATTCGATTTCCTTTATTTTGGTTTTTGATAAATCGAAAACTTTACGTTTACTGAGATAATTACGACTATTATTTGAAGAGATGATATCATTGAATGTTAGTGGAATGTTACCTCATAAATTAAATTTAAAAATAAATTCTATAGTTATACTCATTCTTAACTTAAATACTGCACAAGCATTAGTTAATGGAACACGAATGAGAGTGAAGTACTAACGGGAGTACTACTTTAAATAAAAGAATTTTAATTCCAAGAATAATTAAATATTTTCTGACACAATACTTCCATTCGAATTTCAAAGAACAACGTTCTTATTAATAGCTGCATTTGCTATGACCATAATCAAATCGCAGGGTCAAAGTTTTGGAAAAATTCGTGTATTATTGCGACGTCCAGTAATTTCGCATGGACAATTATATGTGGCAGCAAGTTGAGCAAGTTCATTTCAAATTTTGAAGTTTATAATTCCAATGGCAATGGGCAAGGCTATGTACTAAACAATGACAGAATATTTAAAAAGAACGTTGTTTACAAAGAACTTCTGCATAAAAATGGATTTGAACTCAGTTAAAAATTTTTTTATTTTTTTAATTTTATTGAAATTTACAACTGTATTACATTAAAAATACAACAGGTAAATGTGATATTGGTAACATGACATGTAAAATATGAAGATAAACTACCCATTGGTAGAACTCAAATTAAAGTTCTATATTAAAGATCCCGAGGCCATCTTCTTTTCAGACGCCTCGGAGGGTTATCAGAGATAGAGGAGGAAGCAATGTTTGAAACAAGAGGGTTCGGATGGTTCTGCAGTTTGTTATGGAAGGATAGGTATCTGGATTGGGCCAAATCGGAAACATATGGAACATTAAGGTCTTTATGGATGATTTTGTTTGTGACAAAGTAAGGAGCGTCGAGGATTTTACGAAGGATTTTGGATTGTAAGGATTGGATACGAGAGGAATTCGATGGCTTAGTGGAGCCCCAGAGCTCAATTCCGTAGGTCCAAATAGGTCTTATTATTGTCATATATATGAGTCGTTTGTAATTGAGTGAAAGCTTAGAGCGTTTGTCTAGTAAGTGTTGGAGTTGTCGGAAACGTCGAGCAGTTTCTTGTCGTTTCAATCTTGTATGAGGATTCCATGTGAGTCGTTTGTCGAGGTGGAGTCTTAGGTTACGAATTTGTTCAACTGCGATAAGTGGGGAATTGTTAAAGAATACTGTAGGACAGGAGGTCATAGGTTTGCGACGCAGGGTAAAGGTAATTTGATGGGATTTATTGGAGTTTATTTTAATCCTCCAGTTTTGACACCATTCTTCAAGATTTGTGATGTGTGATTGGAGAGTTTGGGATGCAATTGATGGATCGTTGTTAACTGATAGGATACACGTGTCATCGGCATAGGTGGTGATGACAGTGTTGGGATGGGTTGGAATGTCAGCTATATAAACTGTGTAAAGGATAGGACCTAGGATACTACCTTGAGGAACACTAGGCAAATTGAGATAAAAGAGATGAACAGGCATTTTTCTGATTTACTTTGAAGTATCTATCACTAAGGTAGGAGCGGATAATGAGGAAGTATGTAGGTGGTAGGAATTTACGGAGTTTGTACATCAGTCCCGGATGCCAGACTCGATCAAACGCCTGTTCAACGTCGAGAAAGACTCCCGTGCAGTACATTCCGCGCTCCAATGCAGAGGAAACCACGTCTACCACACGATGACATTGCTGAATAGTGGAGTGAGATGTACGGAATCCAAATTGGTGATCTGGGATTATGTTATTAGAATCTAGGATGGGATACAGGCGTTTTAAGATGAGTTTTTCTAGGATTTTGCCCATAATGGGTAAAAGAGAGATAGGACGGTAAGAGGATGGGTATTCTGGCGGCTTTGTGGGTTTCGGTATCATTTTGACTATGGATAGTTTCCAAGAGTCAGGAAAATATGTAGTTCGGAGTACCGCATTTGAGGAAGCAGTTTTAGGATCTGGGATGTGATTAGGTCATGGCCAGGAGCTTTGCGGGAAGGTAATCTATAAATGATGTTGGATATTTCTGAAGGATGAAATGCTTTAGGTGGAAGGGTCAATTGGAGTGGAATATCGAGTTCTGCTTCAATACATTCAAGGTGGATTGGATTTAGGATATCTGGGTGTGGATTAAATGTTTTGAAGAGGTGTTGAGCAAATATTTCAGATTTTTCTTCATCAGATCTAGACCAGGTTTGGGTTTCGGTAAGAAGTGGGTGGTTAAAATCTTTGAATTTTAAGAGCTTTTTAGTGGTCAACCATAGTGATTTGTCAGTAGTTGTTAGATTTTCTGTTAAGTTAAGTAAACTTTGGATTTCGTATTTCCTAATTTCAGCTTTTAGTTGGTTAGTTAACTTGTAATATGCTTTGTCTGATGGGTATCTAGTCCTATGCCACTTCGATCTTGCTCTGCGTAGTTAAAAAATTTAAATTTATTTTTGACTTGATTAATCATAACATTAATTTACTGCGATAATAACACACATAAATTAAAAAATTTGAATGAGTCTATTTTGTATTACTTATAAATAATTTTAAATAGTTTAAGCTTGATTTTTAATTGAAATTGAAATTTTATTTATATTAATAAATTTTGGGGATTTTTGAATCGCGATTTACTTTTTATTTATTGAATTTATTTTTTATTTAATTATGTTTTCCTCAAATTTTTTAATGACTATGGTCGAATTTCGACCACTGGGCGAACACTAGTAATATTAATTTATTTGATCAAGTTTTCATTGTTTATTTTGAAAGTTGACTTGGAAGAATTGATTCTCCAAACCAAGGGAATGGAAAACGAGACGGGAGAACAATTGCGAAATTTGGAAGCCCGAAACGTACCAATATATTCAAAAATAGTCCTTGCTATGCTACAGGTATGTGTAAAATATATTTCATTTATAGAAATAAGAACATTTTATATTATGATTTATTATATATTAAAAAATAATAGATATATCTCCATGTTAAGCCCTGAATCTTTCTAGGCCTTCTCTTCTCATTTAGTGAACTCTAATTCGATCCTTGAGCCCCTTTCACAATAAAAAAAAAATTAATTAACATAAAATAAATATAGAAGCTTTGGAATTAGAAACAATGAAATAAGATTATCTTGTCAACAATAAATTAAGAACTTGAGAGCAATATATGTTGAGTTCTAGTTCGTATTTCACTTTCTAGAAGAGGCTGATGCAATGGGATTGTATGCAGAAAGGATGGGTGATAACAAACTTCCCGAGAGATGTAGCCGATTTCAAAATACTGGACAACTTCGATACTCCACCTAACAAGTAAATATCTCTTCCATTTCATTTATGTATGGTATAGATGACCAGGAATTGTTAAAAAGCTTCTTTTTTTTATTTCAATATACCTATGGATCGCTGCACTTCAGGATAGCTGATAATTGATGTTTTAAGATATTTTATTGGACTAGTCCAATGTTTATAACAAACATAAAATAAAATTAAGGAGAATGACATTGGAGGTAAGAGTGGATAACTTGAGTTTAATGGACCATCTCTTGCACATGTGATTCCGTCCTCTTTTTCAAACAAGACAATCCAAACCTACTGGTATAATACCCTGACCGCTCAGATCTACTCTGCTCTTTGACCTTGACACACTCTTAAACTACCTTGTTGCGTATCGCTCTGTCACATAAAGAGTATCATCTGATAGTTTTTATTTAATGCCTTTGGTTTGAAAATGATCCTTGACTCTTAGAAGAGTGTGGATGGACCAGAGCAAATTAATTTAACTAACAGTCAGGTCGAGGAGCTGGCTCCTCGGAGCTTCCTGACTCGCTCCCCCATCCGGAGCGGCTACCTAGGGAAGGTGCCCCTAGGGTGTGTACTGTTGATGATCTTTGTCTGTGGTGTGAGAGTGAGTCCAGTGAGCTGTATTGGTGTACTGTGTGAGTGTGAGTGTACTGTTCTCCCAACCTGGTGGGCCCAGTGGCCGTTTGCGGTACTATGACCGGACGATGGGGTCGCCACTTCCCTATGTCAATAGATAAATAAATAGAGAATATAAATTATATTTTTGCAATTCTTAGTAATGTAGCCAAACCTAGTTTAGTTCAGGGGTTTCCAAATTGTTTGGCATGTGAGCCACATTGAGACCTACATCTAGTCCCGCGGGCCCCATTGCGACCTTAATTAAGTCTCGCGGACCATGGCTTATGATGAAAAAAAAAGCTTGTTCTATAAATGACACTTGAGTTGTGAAATGAGCTTTCTAAGAGAAAAAAACTCTTGCAGTATATGTTGTACTAAGCTCGTGCTTAGCGATTTATTAAATCTATTTTTTTAAATACATTTTAAAATTTTACCGTATAATCCAAGAAACAACCGAGGGTTGGATTGGAGGTTTTTGTGGGTCGTAGTTTGGAGACCCCTAGTTTAGATCAAGCATAATTGATTTTGGCATTCCTTGTGGGGAATCAAATAAATTCTATCAGTACATGTAAAATTTATAAAAGAACATCATTATTGAACATATAATAATGTATAAAAGCTATTTCATACCAAATAATCCAACCGAACTTCAATTTGACACCCATCCCCAAAGATTATAATAAAAGCACACAGATTTACATCAATATATAAATTGTTTAAAGTAAATGCCCAAATAAGGAAAAATGCTAAATTTTACTCATTTCTAACAAGTAGACAGTTTCTGAGTTATGATAATTTGAGCTTGTTAGATATTTGAAATTTGGAAGGTAATTTAAGCTCGAAACTTATATATGTTTGGACATTCCTTTGTAAAATCAATTTATTGAACGTAAGCTTTAAAAATGTATTAATTTGTCATACATTAAGCGTAGAATCAGTTTATATCATACTAATATTTATAATATATTTTTTTATCACAATAAAATAATTCTAAAGCATAACAATCAATATTTTTTCCAAGTTGTGATTCAAACATCGAAAAATATCTATAGTTGTATAGTCCCTATCTTTCCTGTTTCAATCAAACATTACGAAAAAGCACTAATGAATCCTTTTTTCAGTAATGTGTGGTTGTAATGGAGTATTTGGAGAGATTTTGGCTACAGATAGCATAGATGCCTGTTTTACAACTTTGGAAAAAGAATAATTTTTATGTTAAAGAAATATTTTATCCATGATGGAAAATTGTAATGGTATTATCTAACCCTGCATCATTTTTAGGACGAATGAATACATTTTTAAAGCTCCAGTGCAATGAATATTGATTGTAAATAAGAAAGTATTTCAAATTTCTCATAAGTTCAAATTACCATAACTCAGAAACTATCTGCTTGTTAGAATTTTAGTAAAATTTGGCATTTTCCCTTATTTGGGTATTTACTTAGAAATATTCATCTAAATCTGTGCGGGTGGGTGTCGATCGGCCTCTGGATGGCTTAATTTGGTAGGACAGAATATATTTTCCTTGAAATATATGTCACTTTAATATTGTGTTCCAGGGTTATATTTCTATCAATACAAACTATTAAAGCGTACCAGCGCTTGAAGAATCGTAAAGTAAACATATATGATGGCGATCTGAAGACAATTAGTGAAATCATTAGCAGTGGTGATAATATTCGAGAATATTATACACATCCTAGAGACTATGATGTCAATATATTACCTGAACAAGACGATTTTGCGAAAAACATTGAGGTAATATGCCTACAACTTCATAATGTTTGATTTATATAAAATACAATAGAATCGTAGTAAATACAGAAAACAAAATGAACCTCACCCTTTTCAATTAAATTAAATCTATAATTTAACGAACTAAGTTTTGTGTAAAATGTAAGCAACAGTGTTATTTTCATTTTAATCCTTAAAAAAACTTTTTGTACAAATTAACAGTAGTACTTAATATTATGGACCAGGTACCCATTTTGCCAGAAGTGCCCAGAAGGAGGTTTCATGGTGAGTCAAGTGAGTTTCAATTTTTTTAAGGGGAGCTCATTTTGACAGGGTTTTGAATTTTTGAGGGAGGCACATTGTGACGGGGTTATAAATTTTCAGAATGAAAAGTTTCAAACAAAAAGACAAGGGGAAGCATGGGACAGACTGCAGATAATGGTAATTTTAGTATATATTATACGATTTTTCAAATTCTACTGTTGCTTGCACTATTTTTAAGAAGAGGTAGACAATAAAATGTCTTGGTAGGGAAAAGATGTGCAATCGACCTTGGCAAAGAGATGATAGGCACCCTCGCATTGGTATTTTTTTTAACAGACCAGTTTAACAAAACCTACTATAAGGGGTTTATGAAAAAAAATTCAAATGGCAGAGTTAAATTTCGTGTTTTTTTTTTCGTATTTGCAAAAAATAAAAAAAATATTCCAACCGAGGATCCGCGTGATAATCATGTTGAATGTCAACTCGAAACGGACAACTGGAACCCGAGCAAATGGCGTCGACCTGGAAGAATGTCCAACACTTTTTAAGAATTATAAAATATTAAAAGCCGTTCGAACTAGATAAATAAATTTTAACTTGTTAATAAAGCAACAATAGAAGTAAAAAGTACTTAATGCACAGCAGCTTAATTTTTTGAGAGAGTAGACTCTCGGAGACTCCAGATGATTAATGCCAGCACTAATCTTGCCCTACAGATCATAATTGAGAATCGTGACACGGTTTTCCAGGATGTTAAAATAACCTCATACTGGTTCTAGTAGGCCTGTATAGTCTGAACAACTACAATCCGTTGTTAAGAATAATTTATACAGAATAAATGTACAGTTGTATATACATTTCTATGCCAAGTTAGTGTTTTTATTTATAATTATATATCAATTTTTTGTTGTAGGAAATGCTTAAATATTGTGGCGATAATTGCAATATCATTAATGCAGATGGTAGCGATAGTGAAGTGTTCGACAGAGTAGCGAGAGTAGTTATGCAGCCATGTGTTATCGCTCCACCAAGAACTGTAGACCTAGAATCGCCAAAGGGTCAGAGTGGTGAATTTGTTTTTAAAGAACGTTCTCATTCATCAATTTACCCAAATATTGTTTACGAGAAAGAGGATTTTCAGGATTTTCGGTCAACGTTCGAATCTAACGACCTTGAATATATGCCTAATGAATTTATTGATTAACTTATGAGATTAAAAATAAAAAAATTAAGAAAATTGTAATTTTTTTGTCCCATAACAGATATGAGCTGGATGTAAGTGATTTAATTTATAATTCTTAAACCAAGTCTAAGCCTTATTAAAGTACTTATTAACAAAATATATTAAGACTGTCATGAAGAAGTAAGTAATATCTCTATGTTTAGTTACCCCTTGTCCTTTTGACATATAATGTGACGAACATTCATGAACGTTTGTAATAATTGTTATTCCGTTAGCATTTAGAATATTATCAGTATGGAATTTTGGTATCGCGAACTACTAAGCCTTCAGTGGTTTGGAAAGTTCATGCTTTGATTATGTTATGTAATAACAGCGTTATTTTACCATCCTAGAAAAATGGTTTCACTCCGATTTCGAAAGATATTCTTTGATAATGTATGAGTGAAGAGAAAAAAAAAATGTTCATTCCATTTTATGATAACTAGTGAGTAAATACTCTAAAATTAAAAATAAATTTTTATTCAATACAATAAGTAATTGTCCTTGGCATTTATAAAATATTGTGATTTCATAGTAAATGTAAAATTGTTGTTTTTATGCAGTTTAATATTGTTAAGAATACTTGTGGTGAAAGTTTTTATGTTTTTGTAAACTTTTGGAATTTAATGTTTGATCATCTCCTTTCAGGACTGAGGCGTTTTAGAAATTTGACAGATATATTAATTTTAACTTAATTTATTTTTATAATTTGTGATATGGGATTCCTAGTCTTTCTTGTTTTAATGTTGTTATGTTTTATTGCTGGAATAGCAGTAACAATTTTCGTTCAGTGGTATCTATTTAATTTATACATAGACAAATTACCATATGTTGGACCAGCCTCTAAGCCTGTGATAGCACCCTTTTCGTTGCCAAAGGTAAGCATTTCTACATTATTTAAGTTCATGATAAATAATGCAATTGAGTAATTGGTTTAATCATTTTCTAGGCTGTTTTAGAAGAGGAGCCCCTCGGCAAAGAACCAGCTGGATCTATCAATGCCCTTTTGCAGTTTTTATTTCAAGAATGTCGTAATACCAAAAGAGTGAGGAAATGGTTTAGACATAGATTAAGTCTAGAGCTGGAAGAATTATTAACCAGGACGACAACTGGGAAATTGTTTGAAAAAATAGTGGTAGGTTTTCAAACAAACTTTTGTATTTCAGATCTCTTAAATGTAACTTACTTAATACTAATGACTCTGGCATTCAAGTCAATTTCCCAATAATGAGTGTGTTAAAGGGAAATTGTTTATGAAAAACCCTGCGGTCTGATTTCATCTTCACTTCACGAGTACTAATGATGTTCTGTTGTATGTTGAGGGTCCTCTTTTCTAATACATTACAAAGTTCTTTCTTCATTTCTAAGGTTGGGTCTCCCAAAACCAACACCAGCACACTTTCTAAGTGCATATGCAAGTCCATTACAAAGGCCTGTGTTTGCAACCTTAAGTAGTCAGCTTTTTTATTACCTAAGTTAATATTTTTGTTTTTTCCTATTGCTTTAATCTAGTTTAGTTTCTTAGAACTTCCATAGTAGCCATATTAAAATTTGGTGGCACCAACAATAAGGTGAGAAAATATTGGACCAGAGGGGATATCCGATATCTCAATTAGCATGCTATGAACCTTGCAAGTAGTGATATAATTTAAATCATGTAACACCAGATACTAAAAAAATTTGATGATTTTAAAATTTCTTCAGCCAACTTTAGATGAATTACTGAAAGAAGTCAATAATGTATTTCTTTAAATATTGTCATAGTACTTAATCCCATTACATTTTAGGCTTATCTTTATTTTTGGATAAATCCCAGGTCCTACTGTTATTCTTCTATTACTTTAAAGTTTTATTATTTATTATTGAATTCATCATTTAGTTAAAATATTTCTCACTGATTGAAAACCTCGATTTTTGTAATGGTCCATGAAACAATAGAATTCAGTTTATCTAATCCACAATATCTAAAACTCAAATTATTTGGATCTTTTATTTTATTTTTTTGCAGTTTCTTTTAGATATATATTTTTTCTCACTTGTTGCTATAAGGTCTAGCTTTTTTTTTTTTTTTTTTTTTTTTTTTGGGTCCTTCCCTTCCTCGCCGTTAAGGCTATACGGGATTTTCCCGGGCCAGGGAGTGTGGGCGGGGATTTAAAAGACTCCCCCGGCACCGGGACGCGAACTCGTGACTATTTTTATATCTTTGTATTCATATGTCAGGTTGCCAGGCAACGGCGGTGCAAGTGCACACGCTTTAGCCCATTCGGCTACCCCGCCCACCTATAAGGTCTAGCTTAGTAAAATAAAAACTCTTAATTTATAGTGTTTGTTATATTTGGATGTTTGAGGGATTCACTGTCTCCCTATTCAGCTTATAGTCCCTAATAAGTTTGATCAGTGATCATTCTTTCTACTTTGTATTATATTATGTTGTGTTAATTTTAGTTGCATAATTAATGATATACATACTAATAAAGAAATTTAGCATGTGAAGGTTTTGTTATAATTTTAAATAAGTTATGTATTTTCTGTAGTATTCAGTTTTATAGCAACTATTATTATCATACCTATGTAAATATATATATTATTTCCCATTACTTTAATGTCAATGTTTTGTTTACTGATCATACCATCTCCTAAGGCATTATCCAGAAAGTCATTGCCCCATTATTCTCAAAGAACAATAAACTCCATTCTAATACAATAAAAAATTATGCAGAAAAGTGTTAAAGTTTATTAAGTAAAATGTATCTAAGGTGGCTAAGATTCAAGATTTAATCCATAGTGAATGGTTCCTCAGCATGGTAATTAACAATAAAATATCTTTTAGTTACGCGACCTTGACCTTGGCAGCCATTTACCAGCTATAAGAAGTATTGAAGTGAAAACCTTATCTGTCGATCCAGGAACGAAACTTATTGAAGAAGTTGAATTATGCCTTGATTTGGAGTATTCTGGAGGTTTTCAGTTGTCAATAGATGCCAGTACAAGGCTTTCCAAATTAGCCCATGTATCAGTAAAAGGTAATAGACGTTTGAATTTTAATGGATGGTATTATTCATTACTGTTTTTGTTTATTTAATCATCACCATGAGGAAATAGGTTAAATTATCTAATGATTTTATTATAATTAAAGATGATTAACGCAACAAATATTTTAATATTAATCAATTACAATGATAATAAATATTAAAACAAATTTTATTCTTTTTTTTATCCTTAATTTGTATTCATACATTTTTGTCATCTCAAAATTAAATCTCATCATACTACAATAATGATGAGATTTAATTTGAGTATAATATAAAATATATGAGGGAAGTATTATCAAAACCTGAGCCTAACTTAAATAAAATTAATAGTATTTTACCTAAGAAGACTTTTTCGAGTAAACTCAGCCATATCCATTATCTGGTGGTCATTCATATGAAGTAGAAATATGATTTTGTATTGTAAGTTTTTTTAGTTAGGTGTCCCAATAATTTATGTGTGTATTTTTCTCAGTTAAATAATGACCTTAATGTAAAATAGCAATACCCCAAAGATAAAATATAACCTAACAATTTAATAATGATGTAAATAAGTTGTTATTATTTTTCTTTGCTTTATTACTAGTATGTAGCTCACTGTTGATCTGAAACGTAATGTGTGAATATAGCTATATAATGTATTAGTTCTAATGTTAATTTATAAATGAATGTGTGGGAATGGTTGTGATATCAATGGATATCAAAAATGAAGCTTATTTTTTTCAGTTAATGAATTAAGTGGAAAGGGAATGCTTAAATTTACAAGATATCCCTATACTCATTGGTGTTTCTCATTTTATAATGATCCAACACTTCAGCTTGAAGTTGAAACACAATTTCAAGGAAGATCTTGGGCACAAGTAAATTCGATAATTGCTAATCAGGTAAATACATTTTTTTTTATATTGAATAATATTTACTTTTTTTTTAATAGATGCATCAATCCAAATTAAATCGACCAATTTAATTTGAAAAGGTTGCTGATTAAATTTATTTTTTTTACCCATATATGTATGTACCATATTCAGAGGGTTTAAAACAGATATTCAATAATTTTTTAGTTCCTCAGTTTTGTATGAGCACCCATTTCACATTGGTGAGTCAGCCTCCTTTCTGTTCTAAACTCTGTAGATTTTTTGTTTTTAAAGATATTCTGTTCAAACAAAAATTATGTTTTAGATCATCAAATTTGCAATATCTTCTGTTAAGTATGTATAGTAGAACTTAATGGCAAACGGCCAAAAATGTTTGATGAGTGTTTTCAAACTAATAACTTTCTCTTTTAAAATTAAAATTTTTTTATTTTTTATTATTTATGATATTTACAACTGTATTAGAAATAAAAATACATTCAGTAAATGTGAACCCAAGAATATAGCAACATGAAACCACATGTTTAGAAACTACCCACTGGTAGCACTCTGAAAATATATTTACAACAGGAGATCTCGAAACCATCTGATTTTCAGACGTCTCGGAGGGTTATCAGGGATCGTGGAGGTAGCAAGATTAGAAACGACAGGGTTTGGATGGTTCTGAAGTTTGTTATGGAAGGATAGGTATCTGGATTGGGCCAGATCAGAAACATAAGGAATGTTACGGTCTTTATGGTTGATGTTATTTGTGACAAAGTAAGGAGCATTGAGGATTTTACGAAGGATTTTGGATTGTAAGGATTGGATACGAGAGGAATTCGATGGCTTAGTGGAGCCCCAAAGCTCAACTCCGTAAGTCCAAATAGGTCTTATTGTAGTCATGTATATGAATCTTTTGTAATTAACTGGAAGCTTAGAGTGTTTGTCTAGTAAGTGCTGGAATAGTCGGAAACGTCGACAGTTTCTTGTCTTTTCAGTCTGGTATGGGTTCGTCATACCAAGAAGAACTGATTTCTGCTCTTCTTCCAATACTTTTTCTGTTAGCTTTAACTTCTCAGTAGAGCAGATGGTATCGTCTTGGATGAGGCTATTGCTGGAGTGTTAGACTATTGCTATTACTGGAAATAATTGTATATAATCCAGTTTATAAAGTTGCCGAAATTCCTGGCACAAGTCTTTGTACTTTCTGATCTTTTCAGATATCATTTTTCCAATATTATCATCGGTAGGGACAGCAATATCAATTTCATAACCACTTGTTGTGTTTCAGTAAATTAAGGCTATATCAGGTTTACTATTTATTATTGTGTGATCAGTAATGATAGAACGATTCCAATATATTGTTTTATTTTTCCCAGATAGTACCTCTTTGGGCTCGTACCGATAATAATAAATCTGATCAGTAATCATGTTATACATAAGGCTAAAGCTTGGTGCACAATCTTGAGCCAGGTTATTGTGCCTCATTAGGTATTCCTTACCTGCCAACGCTTGACATCCCGATGAAATATGTTGGATTGATTCAGTTGCATTTTTACATAGGCGACATCGGTCACTTATATCTTCTCCGCATATATATTTTCTATAAGCATTGGTGGAAACTACCTCATCCTGATTTGCCAAAATAAATCCTTCTGTTTCGGGAAATAAGTATCCTTCTTTTAGCCAATTAATAGAAGCATCCTTGTTAATTCCCGATTGAGAAATAGAATTGTAAAAGCGTCCATGTAGTGCTTTATTTTTTCATCTTTCGATCAGAGTCTCTGTTGGAAAATCTTTGTGTTCTGCTGAAATCAAGTTTTAGGCTGTGTAGCCATTGTTCAGTGACCTTATTGCTGACCATATAGGAGAGTTAGTGTAGAAAAGAGAATCTTAAATTATTTTCTTATTCTCTGCAGCTTTTTAATAAACAGACAAGACACTTCCTACTTGCTTCTGAGGCAAGTCCATCCTCTGAATTGAAGATTTTGGATGTCATTTTCAGGCTGGCCTTAAAAGAACTCTCACTAAGCGATTCGTTTCGTTGAGCTCTGTATCAGACCACTTTACGATGACAAAGGAATAAGTTAGCACTGGAGTAGCCCGTGTATTTATTGCTTTAGTTAAATTATGAGATGACAAGTATGTTTTCAGGAGTATTTTTATTCTTCTTTAAGATTATCTTTATTATTTTTGTTAAATTTCAAAAGTTGACTGAAATCTGAATATGTATAAGAGTCTGAATTGCCTAGCTGTTTTATTGTTAATGAGTTCTGAGCCTTCTTCATTCGTTATCTCTCCTCTTTTAACATAGAAATAGCACACTTATCTATTGACCAAGGTCATGCTTATATCATTACTAATTGACTTTACCATTTGGATCATGTTCTCTACTTCCTTCTCACTTTTGAAATATAATTTTAAGTCATCCATGTATAGAGCATGAGAGATTATGGTTCATTTAGTAATTCACTCATTGGATTTAATGCCAGGCAAAACAATAACGGACTTAAAGAGTCTCCTTGGAATATTCCTCTATTTATTATATGTTCTAGAGGTACTTAGGTGTAATTTCAGGTAGGTAAGGTTTGAGGTAGGTAGGTGTAATTTCACCTTCCAAGTTTTCATTTGATGTTCTATTAAATCTACAATTTTAATATCTATTTTGTACATACTTAATATACATCTATCAACCTTTTGTGTGGTACTGGATTGAATGCCTTTTGATAATCAATCCAGGCAATAGTAGCATTTCGCTTCTTTGAAATCTGGGATGCTGTAAACGAATCAATTACAGCAGTTCCTTACACCCTTTGGTATCTTTCTTACATCCTTGTTGCTCTTTTGTCATGATATTTTATACTTGTTGAAGTGATCTGATATTTTAAAACTGATCATAGACGTGAGAAATTTATGAACCCCATTTAGACAGGTAATAGGCCTAAAATCTTTAGATTCAAGAGGATCCTTAGCAGCTTTAGGGATCAAGTATGTCATTCCTTTACAGAAGCCTTCTGGTGGAATAATGGCATTGGCTATTAGTTTTCGATAATAAGAGGGTAAAAATGAATGTGTGCTAGTAAAATATTTTAACCAAGAATTTTGAATTTTGTCTTCCAATTTTGCATTCTTTTAACAGATATTTGACATCACCCTCATTTAATGTAATTTCGTCGATTGGAGGTATCAAATCTGCTTTTATTCGAACTTTGTCCATCCAGGATCCATTGAAACTGGACAATTTAGGAGCTTCCCATATCTTGGACCAAAAATCTTCTGTTTCTTTCTCATTGACATGCAAAGCACCAATTTTCTGTTGGTAGAAATGTCGAATTCTGCCATTTTCTATTTTCAGCCTCAGTGTATCTTCTTAACCTATTAGCGCACACAGCCAATTTCTGTTTAACATTATCTATACATATATTTAATTTATCGTTTAATTCTGTCTCTTGTATCGTTCCTATATGGAGGACTATAATTTCGTCTACTTTTCATCTAAGTTTAAAAGTTGCTGCAGTAGGGTTTCTTAAATAATTTGTTAGAATTTCAACTTCTTTGCAAATCTCTTCAATTTCATTCTTTAGCCTTCTTTTCCATGGTGTTAATCTTTTACTCACTTCTTGTTTCTTTTCTTTTGGTGTTTATGAACATTCGTTTATTAAACCTAATTCCCTAGCCACTGATCTCGCTCCGACATATCTAATGACGTATACCATTTATGTCTGAATCAGGAGTTAGGTATTCTGATCAAACCAGATCCACTGCTTTTAAAGTAATGTCTAATTTACTTTCTGTATATTTACAAGACTTTAGAGTGAAGCCATCGATGTACTATTTCTCTGTAATATAATTTAAAAAAATAGGATTCATGATAATAATAAGATTTAAGTCTTATCATATATTTTATTATTATTGATGACCGATAGATTATCTTTATAATTTATAATGTTAATAATACTTCATAAAACTTCTTTTTAGATTCGCAAATCTTTGAAACGGAAACATACTCTGCCCTTCTATAAAATAAGATACAAACCTTTCTTTGTTAAACCGGAAATAGATTCTCTTGTAGAAGAAGAAGAAACTCAACCTGGACTTCTTGAATTAACTGTTGTTGAAGCTACAAGACTGAGTTCATCACCAGGCCCAGTTTTTTGTAATGTTGCAATAGGTAAGTTGTAAGTTATACTATATTTTGAATGTTAGATTAAATAAATTATATTACTGTCGTTCTGTAGTGTACTGAAAACAATAGCTACAGATGTATTTTTAAAATATAGTCCTGGAAATTTTTTACTGTTGAATACGATTAAAATCAGTTATTTCCAATTGCACATATGCTAAATGTTTAATATGCTATAAAATACATTGTCTATAGAATATTTCTTGTCTATGTGCAAATAATTTCAAAAGAATTAATGTTTCTTTTTTTACTTTGACTGAAAATAATTTGCATTTTTATATGCATCCATATATATCCATATATGCTAAATGTTTAACATGCTATAAAATACATTGTCTACAGAATATTTCTTGTCTATGTGCAAATAATTTCAAAAGAATTAATGTTTCTTTTTTTACTTTGACTGAAAATAATTTGCATTTTTATAACTTATTTTGTTAATATTCAGAAATAAATCTACGGATAGTCATAAAAAATAATTGTAATAATTTTGAAATCTTAATTTTCTAAAGCATACTCATTAACTTCTTCTAAACAACAATTAATCTTTCAGATGTATGTAAAAGTGCATTTAGACATTTCACAACCTATGAGACAAACAAATATGTAGATGGTTATTTCACTATGATTGTATTTTTGTTAATTGTTTTTGATTCTTTCCATCTGCTGTTGGTGTCAAGAGAAATAAAATAAATAGTTTAATGTAGCAATAATGTTGCTATTAATTAAGTTTGATAATTGTGTTTCCTACATAGTTTATGAAATGTCTAAACACACCTTATAAATAAATTTTTGTATTTCAGTGTTTCTAACCTTAAAATCAGAAAGTTCAAAGAATAAAATCAGAAAAATAATAGATATAAAAGTATTAGAGAAGAAAAAGGTGGTTACTTTTTACACTTATTTTTTTTCTTCTCTTATACTTTTATATTTATCATTTTTCTGATGTTATTTTAAATTTTATCCTTGATGATGACCCACATGTTTGGGTCGAAATGTTCGGTGAACTAAAAGAAAATTTCTACTACAAATCCTTATAATTTTTTTCATCATATAATTTCAACAGTCAACTACTTACCCATCTCTAAATTAATAAATTTTGTTTGTTTGTGATAGTACCCATATCATTAACCCATGATAAACAATTTGTAGAAGAGTAATATTTTTTTCTTCAGTTGATCTAATTATTAAATTTTTAAATTATTGACAGATAGTTCTGCCTGGATTGAGCTGACTCACTCTGGTACAGCGAGCTACTTAACAGTTGATGTGAGCGTCACAAAGCAACCTGGCCCGCACATCGGTATCAACTTCAAGCAAGAGTTCATTTCTGACAAATATCAGGTAATGAATTTCAATTCTAACCACTAGATTTTTATAATTAATATTTCTAGAGTTAATAGTAAATTAACTATTGGACTTATATTAGGGTCATCAAATGTATTATAACCTTGTTTTTTTCTGTTGGCATTACAGACCATGTAGAGCTTTTGTCGCCTTAACAAGCCTGCTCCATCTCTGCCTGTCTTGGGTTATTTCTTTCCATTTATTTGCACGCAGCTCCATTGCATCTTTGTTGATTCTATCCATCCATCTGCTTTTTGGCCTTCCACGTGGTCTTTTGTCTTCTATTGGGGCATTCATTGTTACGTAGAGGACTGATAGATTACTACGAGCTACATGCCCCCCTCAACACCTCACCCATCTTAACATCCGTGCCTTCATATCATGGGATGTTGATTGACCAGTTCCTATAAGCAGTTATTTATTGGTCTTTCTTCTCCATGTGTTAGTACTCTGATCCTGGATCGCTCCAGTTATTATGCGGAGGATTTTTCTCTCAAATCTTTCAACTCTTTTTTTCTAGGTTGCTGGTTAGTGTTCAGGTCTCACAGCCATATAATAGAACTGGCTTTATCATAGCATTGTACACCCTTAATTTGAGATTTTTCGGGATTTCAATACCTTTGAATAGGAGAAGAAAGCTCTGTTTCGTTAGTTATAGCTGGTCTATTTCTGCCCATTGGTCATTCATTTCGATTATTGTGGAGCCAAAGTATTTGAATTTTTCTACTCTTGGGAATGAATAATCATTGAAGGAATGAAAAAAAAAAACTGAAGGAAAACCTTCTACGCAGATTCTGTTATTGTGGTGGAATTTTCGGCTTATTATGATATATTTTGTTTTGTCTTCATTTACTTGTAGGCTGATCTGCTCTGCCTCTCTTATCAGAGTCACATTTCTTTGTATGTTATATTAAATTAACTTTTAGATGTTTTTTTTATTTTAACTGTCTAATTTCACTATAGTACAATAACTTTCCAACTTGCCAAATTTAGTCCTGAGGTATCTCAGGTATCTGCCTATCTTGTTCCTAGTCTCTTGCCAATAACTGTGATATTGAAAGTTGTATATTCATTATCTAAATGAATTATATACCCTGTCCATCTTAACCTTAGAATATTGCGAATTACGGAAGACTCAGGTTTTCATTTGGTGGATTTTCCTTTCAAATATGAAAATTGTTGTATCAAGAATCAAATATGAGACTCTTGGACATACATAGAAAAAAGAAAATGATGTATGAAATGATATCTTCTCATCTGAAAATGAGAAATGTGTTGTTAAGTTTTACCTTAAAATACCGAAGTAAGATTTTAACAAAGAATACCTCAGCTGTGATATATTAAGTTATTATATCTAGCTACTGTGACACAACAAAAAATTTGGTTCTTGTCTTAAAAAAAACTAAGGTGTGTGCTTTAGGCCACACGATAGAAGTGAAAATATCAACAAGGCAAGATTAATAATATGAAATATAAATTAAAAATAATAGCTTAATATAAGAGGATAAAATGCTGAACATTTCCTCCATTTGAACAACGCTCGCTTACAGTATGCATGCCCGATTTTTATAGTTTTTGAGATATTTTAATCCAATTCTTCAATAACACTCATTATCATTTGGTTTTTGACTTTTTACACTGTTTTTTCCTTTTTCGCCTCTCTAACATGGCATTGCGTTAAGATACAATTTTGAATAATAGCTCATTACAAAGAGATTGAAATAATGAACATCTCCCTTGCTAACAATATGCAGGTCCAATTTTTAGTTTTTGAGATATATTAATCCATATGCAGGTCAATGAGTCGACTCCTGCCGACTTTACATGAGCGTTACACATCGAAGATCTGACGGCTCAGTCTAATTAACTCTTTCCAAAAAAAAAAATGCAAAATGCGCCTAAAGAAGTTTTCAATTAAAAAAACACATCTTTATTGATTCTCAATCTAATATGTGTCTTCAATAATATGGAAAATAAGAAACACTTTGCCAATCAAAATGAAAACAATCATTCAATGGAATTGTAACAGATTTTTCTGACATTTAGAGCACCTAAAAGTGACAATAAGCGAAGAGAACCCTATACTAGTTTGTCTCCAAGAAACACACTTACAAGAAACTCAAACAGTGAGATACAAAGATTACGATATATACCGAAAAGCAAAAGATCGTCATGGGAAGACTTTGTATCTTCATTAAATCAAAGCATTTCAATGAAGGAGCTCTGGAATTAAGTGAAAAGCATTAAGGGGATCTCCAAAACAAAGAAATTGCCTGGTATAAAGAGTGGACAAGACTTTATAACTGACCCTGACGAAATCGTTAACGAAAGTGATAAAACTCTGCAACAGAGTGTAATTTAAAGGCGTTGCCAATGACCCTACAGGATAGAGGCAACAAACTACCAAATAAATAAATAATATGTGTCTTATTCATATCACCATTAATCGTTTCTAGTACTATTTTTATTAAGTGTTACTATTATAGATACTTACTTTACAAGATGATTTTCTTTATAATATTATAATTGTAATGAAATAAATCCTATCTTGAAAGTAACATTTTGAACACATTATGTCGCTAACTAGATTTTGGCAGTTCACATAATTATTAAATTTACTCTGAAAATTCAACTTAATTGTAACATTGTATTATTTGTAAAAGGCAAGGTTATTGTAATTAATAGATTACGTTTTAAAAATCTCCTCTGATTGTTTTATTTTCCAGGTTGGAGTTGTTGTTGAAAGTGTATCAAATCCTTTGTGTCAAGATTTGAAAAGCGGAGATATCGTTGTCATGGTCGAAGGGAAAAATGTTCAGTCGCTATCAGCATTAAATAAAATTATCAAGCAATGCCAAAACAAGGTTACTCTTAGAGTTGAGAGAAAATTAAAGTTAGTTCTTGGAAATGAAGATAAAGTGAACCAGGTAAATATAACTTAATTGAAATAAGTTGTGGATAGTCATTGTTTCCTGGTATCTTTCAATCAGCCATTTATCGGCTACTTTCTCTATTATTAGTGAATTTAATGAAACTGATGCTTGTTATAAGAGAAATAATGTTTAAAATAAATTTTTTATTAAATTTTAACATTAAAAAATCTGATAGTTATCAAGTTTTCTTATTTTAATTCTTACTGTGGCCTTGAATGTGATTGCCTAGGATTTAGATTAACTTTTTGACCTTATTGTAAATTGATCTATTTAGTGAAGAAATTGAATGCATTAGCAACGCGGAGGTAGCCAGAAGGGGAGGCAATCAATATAAGAGTAGGAGAATTATTCTTTATTTTGTAATGTTTTTGGAGTTCCGTTTCTTTCAAAATGTTGAAATACTAACAGGAATTTGTTGTTTCTATTTATTGTAAACCTGCTTTATAATGAATTAGGTAAGTTTCCATCTAATCAGTTGACAGATTTTTGACTGAAGGAATTATATAAAGCCACGATAAAGCTCATGATTTGGTCAAAATGATTCAACTAACTTCAACTTCAATGATTAAACTTCTTTCTGTCGAAACAGTTATAAAAGAAACACTTTACTTTTGAATCATTCTTCTGGCATGGGCTACCCATTGCAGATGAATTTCAGCCAACAATTTTAATCATCTGCACTTAACAGAGGTTTATTTACATCTTCATTGACAGAGCATTTTGTGATAAATAATAGGTAGAACAGTTTATATATTATATTAGTTTTACCATTTTTAATAAATATCATTTAATTTCTCAACGATTTAAATTATATTGTAATTATTATTTATGGAAATTTTAAGATTTTTTTTTCAGGTAGTTATTGTTGTAGTTGGTTTAGTTATTGTAGAATCTTATTGCAGCATAAATAAATTTATTCTTATGTCAGTGTATTACTACATTTTATATATATTTTAATATTATACTTTATATGTCTATGATGTGTTCTTATAAAATTTATATAAGTCACAATTAAAGAGTATAGTTACCAACTTACAAATATATTAATCAAATAGACAATTTTATATCATTTTTCTTTAAATATTATGATTTTGTGGTTGTGCTATTATGTATATGTATTTATGTAACAAAATATAAGAAAATTTTAAGTTATTATTTTTGTTTAGGGGGAAACATTTGGTTTAAGAAGTCGCAGTATAGCAGCAGGAGATAAAACTGACAGTGATAGCAGTAACCCACCGTCATCATCAGGTATGAAGTTTATGTTGATCTACATCTATCTAAAACCCTAGTTAACAAAAAAGAAATTATATTCTAACTCTAAATTTATATATATATATATATAATAAACTGTTCCATCTTGTATTTTGATATTATTTATTTATTTTTTAGACTCTCCTGCTAAAAGATCTATCAGTGGTAGTCCTGAGCACAGTAAAGGAATACCTCGCTTATCTTTATGTTCCGATGCAGAAATGGAAGCTTCAAAGCCACAAATGTTCTCGACCAAGGACGTCCCATTTTCAAAAGTAACTATGTTTTAACTTAACATCATTATTCAAATTATTAACCTTATCTCAAGTTTCAAACTTTGTTGAAACTTTCCAAGATTGGTTGGATTTCTCATTTCTGTGAAATTTATCTCGAATAAAATGTATTTCAGATTCGTTTGTAACTTTATTAATAGTTCTTTGTAACTTTTATGATAGCGGTGAATCACTTATAAGTAATCCTTAAGTTTAAAACGAACATGCTAAAATAAGCATTTTCAAAATGTTTTTAAATTTTTTGAATACGTAATTATTAAAACCTCTCCGAAATAAAGTTAATAATGAAATTGAAAGACAATCATAATGAAATAATAGTGGGTATTTTATTTGTCTTGATAGTGGTCTACCATGTTTATCAAAACTTGGCTAATAAGGAGTCTAGTTTATGTGTTTCATTTCTTAGTTAATTCTGTTTTTCTACATATATTTTTGGCCATACCATTTTAATTATAAGTTTATTATTGATTTATTATTGAAGTCGCTTGGATTAGGTGATAAGGGACATTTTTGGACAAATTGAATTGTTACTGTGAATAAAAGGTATTGAGGAGTGGGGTATTTTTAATATTTCTACCAGTGGAGACCCATAATTTCAATGGGTTAAGAACTGAGTGTTTTGAGGATACACACCAGCTTTGTCATTGATAAAGATAAATAATTTATAATCTTCACCAATAGATAAGTTTTCTCTTTATTAGTTAAATCACGAAGCCAATCCTTAGTATGTCTGATATTTTAATGTAAACATTTGAAAAAAACGATTAGTGTTTTTTTATAGGAAAAAATTATGAGCAGAGGTTGAATAATTTTATATTTATCTTTAAAGACATAAAAAGACACTGGCATTATTTTTGTAAAATAAGTGTAAGTACATTAAAGTAAGTTAAAGATTTAATTTTTTTAATCTAAATTAAACGTTTTTTTTTTACTATTCAATGAACTGTTAGAAATTATATAACAGCTTTCTTAAAAAAAATGTACCAGTGTCCAATTTTAAATTCACTTTTCTAATAATTGTAAGTAAATTTCTTATCACCTATGTTCATTTGATCCTGAATTAAATTAAATGTATATTCCTATCATGGATGTATGCATAATAATTTTTGTGATCAGTATATTGCTACCTCACTTCTTTGTTTCTCTTTGTGGTGTTTTAAAAATTTTATATCAAAACCAAAATATCTACTTGGTTTTACGTGTTAAAATTCAAGGAACAAATTTGGCTCAATGTCTTATTAAAACCATGTGATGTGCAACTCACCCACTTCTATTAATGATATTCATAAATTTTCAGAGATTTCGTGGATTTGTTTTAAATGATCCCATATTAAATTAATCAAAACTCATTCACTGCTTGTGTGAATACATAATTAAGATTCATCTATATTTAAAAAACGGCTTGTTAGATTTGGCTGAAATTTAGAAGGGTAATTGAGAATTGTGAGAAAAAATGATAAATTACATAACAATTTTATAAAATTCCATCCACTACTTTCCATAAGTGCTAATATATTTCTAAAACGGCTTATTGAGTTTGTTCCAATTTGAATTTAGTATATATTTCATCAAATTCCATTTGACAACTAAAGTTAATATACCTAAGTGTTAAAAATTTGATGGCCATGAAACATGATAGGTAATGAACACATGGATATATTTACAATATATTAATATTTATATTATATTATTACTATATTATATTACCATTTATACTATTATATATTTATACTATAGTTATATGAGGTAGTAATGTTTTTCTGTACAATCCACGATTAAAATTTTATTTTATTTATATCAAACCCTCCCCTGCCTTTTAAGCAATAGGAGTATTTGCAGCAGTCGAATGTTACTGTTACATAGCAACCCACTGTTGTATTTTTAAACAATTTACAATTTAATAAAATTTCTTTAGCTCTGCACACAATTGCCTCTTTCTTTCAGTTCTGCCTTTTCGACTTCTCTCCTGCTTCTTTCTCACGACCTCCCGGTGCAGCTCCTCTTCTTCCTAGAGAGAAATGGGTTGGTGCTACCACTTCTTTCCTCCCATATATGAAATGTTTAAAATACTTTGGTTTGAAAATTAGTTATGGAAGATGTCTCTCCATTAGGACATACAGACTTGTCTCTTTCAATAGGTTTGCCCTCAGTAACTCATATGCAGTTAAGAATATTATAATATGCTTAGTGGTATGCGCTACCCCACAACTTGGGGCTTAGGAGACTAATGTTTACAACATATTCAATGAGCTTTGTTCAGAAACGGCCATATACATGAGAATCTGTATGATCCAATAATCCGGGAGGACCCAAATCGCTTCTATTCTCAATCCAATGGTGGTAAAGTATTTTCTCTGAGTAGCCCCTTTCAGAGTCGTAAACCTCCATTGGGTCTACTCTTTTACTATATTCTCTTACAGGGTCCTCTTCCAGCTCCTGAGATCTTCTCCTATTTTCACTGAGAGGTACTCTGGTAGAGCTGTTACACATTCTCTCCTTATCTTGTACCTGTCTTCTCCCAAGAGGAGGGCGAGAGATATTCCTCCTGCCAAAACCTACACCGTCTCATGAGACACTTGTTCTGTATGATCTACTTAAAGCAGAACCATTTTTTGGATAGTTTCCAACGTACACTTTTGTCCGTGTGAGATATTTCAGCTCCAGGCAAGGGAATACTCATAATTAGGCCTTTATAAATTCATATTATTATCATGTATGTTAAATATATTAGGGTGCTAAGGCCACTTTTCAAATAGTTCAAGTGAGGTATCACATTAAACTTTCTTCTAATTCTAAACCGCTGCTCCTGTAGATTTTATTCTTAAGCGACAAACCAAAGACTTTGAAATACAGTTAACTATGCAAGCAATAGAAAATAGTGAGGAAGCTATACTGCCCTACTTGACAGACAGTTTTTCATATCATTATTGTTTTTACGACAGCCTAGTATATTGCAATGTTATATGGTAAAGCTAACATTTATATGATTTACTTTTTAGGTTGTTCAATTTAATGAAACATTCAAGATCAATGTTCTCCCTGATCATAAATATGTAAACCTAAGCGTGTGGAGTCGTGGTGCTGAAAAAAATAACCTCCTTGGTCACATTAGCTTGCCGGTGAAACCACACTGTTGCCCGCCATCTCCTGGTCATCATGTTGCAATGTATTCTCTCTTACCTCCAAATCCGAATTTGACCACAAGGTACTGGAAGATATTTAATTGGCATCTTATATTGATTTAGCTCATTTAATTATTGAGAATTCACAAGATGATTAATGTATTATTTGCAGTAACAATTTCTAGTAGTTACAGATTATATTATTCAATGATTTTATAATTTTAAACAGTAGTAATTTAAATCATATAAAATTAAAATATACTTAGTTTGTATGTATTTTACTTTAATTTTTGTTCATGATATTGATATGGGATGGAAAGTTAAATCTAAATATCACATTTTGACTATTTTAATTATGTTTCATTGACAGTTTTTGCTTTTGTAGTATTGGTAACAGCCTGGCATCCCACCCAGGATTTGAGCCATGCTTGTGTTTTGGAGACGTCCTTCTATCATTTGCATTTACTGGTACTGGTTCGAGCCCCGGAAACCAAACCTCTACTAGCTCACCACCAACTCCTGCCCCTTCATCATCTTCCTCATCCACAGCACTTCCAGAAATTCCAGAGATCATTTCTGGCCCGAAACATGACTTTGTTCGAACTCATTTTGAGAAAGTCACTCAATGTGGATTCTGCTTCAAAAAGGTCATTCTAATGTTAATTATTACTGGTATATTAATTTCATTGTTAGATAAATAATAGCGGAATGAGTTTGCAAGTAATAAGAGAGTTTTGAATAAATTGAATTAAAAGTTTTCTGTATCCATTTTCAGGAACAAAGCCATAGGATGTTTTTTTTTTTAAATATCAATTCTGTTTAAACTTTTTCCAAAATTGTCAAACCTCAATAATTCAAATGTTTGAATTTGAAATCAAGAAGGATTCAAACTCTTCTGTCAGCCCCATGTTTTTATATTTAAAACAACATTAGAAATAAATAATCATCTATAATTTGATGTTTCTAATATTACACGGTAGGCCAGACCCCCTATCGCGCACCCCCCCCCTCTCCCACATCCCTATAAATTGCATATCACTGTGTTCCTTGTAACTATTTATTAAAAAAAAGCCAATGTCCCCACAAAAAAAAGTGAACGCACTACCCCAAAATGGTGACCAAAGATGGCGGATTGACGACTTCGACTTTAGTTAGTTTTGGTCACTGAGAATCAGCACTTGGCTTAATTTCCTCATGGTTGGTCTTTAGTTAAAGCTGAATAGTCAGAGAATAATAAAACAAAAAAAAAATTTAATTTAAAAACAATTCAAAAATTTAAAAAAAAATATTTTCAAGTTGAAAATAAAGCGTCGTTTGTTATTAAACGACCAACAATAACGCAAAATGTGCTAAAATAAAACATCTGGAGAATATATTTCTCTTTCTAAAATACTGATTACTTTTTTAAATATTTGAAGCAATTCCGTAGAAAATGCACTTATGCGGGAGAAAAGCGGTGCCGGCGTAGGTGCTACAAGCCTCTACCACACCATTCTGTACACATAAATGGCTTAGTTATAGTGATATAATAAAGTTTTTAGTACATGGTATTGGTTTTATTAATGCAAAATATATTATATGCAATAATATTAATGCATTAATGTTAATAATTAAAAAAATATTAATACAATCATTTAATTGTCAAAAAAAATTAAACAATTTATTTTTAAATTTATTTTTTATTTAACTTACTTTATTCTATACGGAGGTCGTTTAAGTAGACATCTATTGTAAAAATGATATAATTATAATAATAAAACTTAATTGAAAAATACTTTGCTGAATATCTTGAATTTTTTATTTAACGTTTGCAATTTAACACATTGTTTTGTATATATACTGATTCTTAGAGGTAATTTAAATTGTATATACTTTCCAGGAAATGAGTCATATCATTACCTGTTTTATAAACTGAAATAATATATACCTAATCTGAACTACATATAATGAATAGTTGCCGGGTCGTTTAGTATAATTTATTGTTATGAAATTGCGAAATAAATTGTTTGGAAGTTGGACCATAAAATAAAAAAATAACTAAAGTCAAAGCCGTCAATCCGCCATCTTTGGATGCCATTTTGGGGCAGTGCGTTCACTTTTTTTTGTGGGAACATTGGCTTTTTTTTAATAAATAGTTACAAGGAACACAACGATATGCAATTTATAGGGATGTGAGGGGGGGAAGGTGCATGATAGGGGGGTCTGGCCCACAGACTATATAATCTAATGTTTTATTCTTGTGTGAAATCTAAAAATACTTATATTCTGCATAATTATATCACCAGTTCATTTACAAGGAGAAAAAAAAATTGTATGCGTTAACAGGTTGATTGTTCGGAGAGTTACATTCTGTATTGACAAAAATGTGTGTTTCTTCAGTTTGCATTTGTTGACGATTTTCATGGTGTAATTTTATATACAGGTATTTATTTAACCTTACTGGTACAAATTTAGGTATTAAAGATTCTTTGCGAATTATAATTTGAATAAAAGCTGAAGGTTTGTTTGTCCGAATTTATTTAGAGTTTTATTAGTAAATTTTTTTTCTTCCGAAAGCCAAAATAGTGTACATCATTTGACTCATTGATCACGATGGATATATGATCACAATACATTTTTCTATGGTAGGAGTAAAAAAAAAAAAATTAGGTTTGATTTTGAAATCTTGGATGATTCAAATTTTTTCACTGGTGTCTTAAACTTCGAATTAAACAATTCTTATTGTAGCTACTTGAATAAATTTTAAAATAAAACATGTAACTACTTATAACATAAATAGTTTATTATCTGAAAGAAATTCTAAAACTAATTTGTCATTGTTTATATTTTTAAAAATAAAAATAAAAAACTTAAATTTTATATATATGCTTTCATATATAGAATTTCTGAATGTTCCAGAAACAATATTTATAAAATATGTTTAATATTTCATATAACTAGCAACTTGATATAAATTAAGAAAATAAAAGTTATTTCTTTATTTAAAAGTTAAGATTTTCATTCTTTTTTGCTAATATTCAATATTACTTTTACTTCCCTACCTATACTAGGTATCTATAGGATCGGGGTATCTAGGTGTCTATATAGGTATATATGATCGGGTCAAATTTCCGATGTAGTATGCAGTTTTCTGTATGCAGTTTTCGATGGATCTATTCATTTCAGAGCCCCCAGAGTCGGAAAACACATTTTTAGCCATTGGTCTGTCTATCTGTATGCCAAGATTTTCTCGGGAACTAGTGGACGGTTTTGTTGCTTCTTTTTTTTTTTTTTTGTATGGTTTTGACTCCTGATGCCTGTGACATAAATTAGGTGGTCCATATATCCATAGCTGCTGCTCAATAAATGAAAAACATGTTTTTCTATAGACTATAGACTAACAATTTTGATGAAACTTTCCTATAATGTTCTAATAATTATGGAAAAAAACACCGTTTAGTCTGTTTTTTTTAAAAGGTAATGAAATTCCCTAAAAAACTATATAAAAATCGTTCATTTTGGACAACTATTAACAAAGTTACAGCTATTCAATTTCCAATGTAAGATTATGGGTTCATATCCTGGTGTCAGAAAGGGGTGAATGAAAAAAGATAACTAAGTGAAAGTAAGAAAATCTGTTGCCCGCATCACACAAGTTTCACTATTTCCTCTACTTTAAAAGAAAATATTGTTTGACAAAATTAGGCTATGGCAAAAAGTATTTGATCAGCAATATTAGAGGGTATTGAAATTTTTACACTGATCTAACTTAAGCCGATTTCCATTGCTTTAGTTTATCAAATAAATCATACTCAAATATTTTCTTTGATCAATTTTCAGTAACTAAATCTAATTCAATTATTTTTTGTTCTTGATGAACATATGTAAAGATATAGAAACTTTTCTGGAATAGGTAGGAAAGTCGTCTAAGTGGACTGACCAGATTTTTTTTTTTTAAATTGGAGAATGCCCGTGTGATTGGTTGGATTGGAACTTCAAACAAAAAAATATAAAGATTCATAATAACTTTATAATTTTTTATTGCTTAGAATTGGATAATATTATCAACATATAATAACATTTACAGCGTTATTATAAGTTATAATATTTTTGTTTAAAAAATCCTATCTATAGAAAAATGAATTTTAAGACCATTTATTTTTCTTAGAATGAATAATATGTACTGTCAGATTAAATCAAGCAAACAATATCTGTAATACCAATGATATAATTTTAGATTTGGTTGAAAGATGCCCTCCAGTGTGAAGGGTGCCTCATGAGCTGTCATAAGAAGTGTGCTGTCAAAGCCCAAGCTGGTCCTGGCTGTGCTAGAACAAATCCGAGACGACCTTCGGTACAACCTGAAATCATCACCACGCCACCTGACGATATCAACGCTCAGGTTGTCAATTTATTGAATGAAGCAATCTTTTTTTTTTTTTTTTTTATATATATTTCTATTTTTCACCTGCTAATGTTAATGAGAACCCACCATTAAAAATATTTGTCTGTCATACCCAATTGCATGCCTCAACACATTTTCATCTAGTTAAAATTTTACACTTGTATATATTGATTATATATATTTTAAAATGGTGGTGGTTATATAGCTGTATAAACGCGAGCCGAGCGTGGGTAGCTCAGAGCGTAGTGGCTTGGGCTCGCTGCTGAGCGGCCTGAAGAGGGCAGGCTCGGCTTCAAGCCTTGCCCCTCCCGACTTGGTCTCGTTGCCGTCGTCTCCCAGCCATTCTCCTTCGCAATCAAGAAAGGTAGTACATGTTTATAAGTCGCTATTATTATTTATTTTATACATCTTCTTAAATTAACTGCATTTTCTTCAATAAGCTAAGCCATGCTCAGGATGCTCAGGCTTTATTTTCTCTCATCTTTTCTTCTCTTTAGGTATTGTCTAATTTCTATAAAACTCGGATCAACATTTATAAACAGCAGAGGATGAATTAAACTTTTGGTCTTGATACGCAGGTAATGATAATTTGTATAAATATTCGATATTAAAGAATTAAATTTCTTTCAGATGTTTATTGGCTATATTTAAATATTAATTTAGTTTACAAGATCTGTCAAGTTTGAAATTAAACCAGGCCTGGATTTTGATTCAACAATTTCATTTATTGATAGCCTGTCTGAGAACTAAGGGGTAATAAATTTCTTGAGTTGTGAATTGAGAAGAACTGAGTTGAATGGTTCTGGATACGTACATCAACGGGAAGCTACGATGGGATCGATCTCTTAAGGATAGCTTATATTGGTTGAGGGTAGGCTTATTTTGTCCTATGGAGTCATTCACGCTGTCATTAGTTTTGGATATATGTTATGTTTATATTAGGCAATCGTTGCTTTTTTGAGGTTGCCTGTTACTACCGAAAAAAATAGAAATAGAGTTAAAAAAAATAAAGTTTTGAAAAGGATCAATTATTTCTTATACAATATAATATGATCCTTGCCTATTCCACTACTTAAGCCATAACAGTGGTACTGAAACAAGAAGATTCAAAACATTTTAGAAACCATTTAGTAAACCTTGAGTTCCTTGCTTTCTTAGTAGCAGCATCATCTAAGCCACAATAATAAGAATTAAGAAAGTTAAGGCATTATAATCAGACAACTGTTCGGTTCAGTTACGTGAAGAAAATATTAATTAATACGAAAAAATTTGTGAATTGATATTTATTATTTGCCTTGGGTAAAATTGAATGATAATTTTAAATTTCCAAATGAATTGGTAGTACGAGTACTTGAATTGGTAGTACTTCTATCAGGAGATTAAAGGTATGCTATGATTTGGCAATTATGTTTCTGAGTTTTAAAAGAAATTGTGAGCTTATATTTTTGGTCCTCTTAAATGAGTCTAAATGTTTGACAAAATGAGATACTTATTCTTATACAGTTTTCTAATCAAAGGGACAAATATTATATAAAATGATATCTCTATCAAAGACCATTAGAACTGGATTGGGGTTTAATTATAATGTTGTGAGGTATTGTTAATTATGACATAGGCCAAAGAAATTTTCATATAGCTTGACTTCACTCTAAATTATTAGGGCAGTAAATTGAGTTGAACTAAATTTTTCTTGAAGTTATTTATGTCACTTTTTTCCTAATGTTCCATTTATAATAGCTTGTTTATCTTTGGTTTTAAAGTAATTATCAATAAATTATGTTAGTACCCTCTATTGCTGTTATTAATTCATCCTCTGTAGATTAACGTATAATTTGTTGATACCATTTAATTCTTTTACTACCAAAATTAGTATCCATTTTGCCATAACTTTTTCATTATCTTCTATAAGGCGATTTTCCATATTATTTTTTTTTTTGTACATAATTTAATTATTTAGACTTCCATTTCAAACCATTACTCTTGTTACCTTGTAGCATTTCAAATTTCCCTTTTAAGTTTTCAGGCATTGCTTTAAGGACGCTTTTTGCTACTGAATTGCCTACACTGTAAATTGCTTCCAGTTGCATCCACCCTTGCAGATTACCTATCACCTGTTTGCATGGTAATAAATGTTACAAGCACTTTTGTTTTTTAAATATATTTTTGCTTTGCACTTTAAAAAACTTGTCTTGAATATGTTTTTGTCAACTGTTAGTTATTTTTTATTGGTCCGTTAAACTGCATGTTTCATTTGTATTTATGACATATCATTTAATTGGAAGAAGACCATCACAACTTATCAAACAACTTAAATCATTCATTTTTTAAGTAAATACTTCTTTAGGCACACATTGCACTTTTTTGTGGGTAGTGAATGAGATTGAGCCGTCACACATATATAACACTAATTCAGGTAAAGTTGGCTCGAGTCGACTAACTGAAGTGTTTTTGATTTGGATTAAAATATCTCATAAACTAAAAATCAGACCTGCATTCTGTAAGTGAGGAAAAAATTCATTATTTAATCCTCCTTGTTATGAGCTATTATTCATAATTGTTTCTTAACGCCACGCCGTGTTAGAGAGGCAAAAAGGGAAAAAAATAATTATATTTCATATTATTAATTAATCTCGCCTTTTTGATGTTTTCACTTCTATCGTGTGGTCTAAATCACACACCGTAGTTTCATTAGTATATAGAGTAAAATTCTCCAGTTTTCGGCACCCTTAAGGAAACTTTAAAATGTGTTTGTACTGTTTTGAATCACATGGGTATTTGGTTGGACAGTTTCGGTTCTGTTAAGTCAGTATAATTCTCTAATTTTAAAATATATACGTGAAACAGTGTCTTTCATCTGTTTTTTTATAGCAAAACAGAAAAATTAAGAATATTCATACGCGCCAGTTTTCAGCACACACTGAAGTACTAGGTTTTGTCACTCCTTACCCAATTTTCAAAAAATTAAAGTATTAAATAAATAAGGCTTCAGAATGAAAGAACTACTGTAATGTTGTGCAGAAATGTGTTTCTTTCCAAAAATTCAAGACATGTCCTTCCTGGATGACACCTGTCGTGTTTCTAACCTTCATACTTTTTTTCGATTTATAAAAATAAATAAATAGTGGGAGATGATAGTATATGCGAGCGCAGGAGGGGTTCCTACTTCAAATGAGCGCCTTTTGCCAGCCCTAGACCATTCCTAACGCTTAATATTCTTCAATAACTGCAGCGGGTGCCGAAAACTGTGTGAGGTGCTGACAACTGGGGGTTTTACTCTATATTAATACACTCACTAAGTTACCAATGTATTAAAAGTAATGTTTTGAGATGTGGTGATCTTCTTTCAAGCTAGCAATATGTTCATTGAAAACTGCTATTGTTCGTTTATTTCTCATAAAATGACTATTTTATATTATGTCAGGAATTCAAATTTTGATTTTCAACTTGCTCCATGCATCCCTCATCTGGGGACTCCTCATTAAATTTCCTTAAACTTCACTATATTAGTTAAAGGCAAATTTATATTCTTTTGTTTATATTTCGGGCTTTTAACTAATTGGCTGCCATAGAAACAGAAACTCCTTGAATTTTTTTGTGTTAGTAATTTAAAGATGGGACCTTAATTTGTAATTTTGTCAAAAGGAGATTAATGCCGAAAATTGTTAATGAGAGATTCTGAAGATGGAAAAAATTCCCAAAACATTAAATTATATAAATTGCTTTTAACTAATTAAAGTTTTTCTTTAATTGAAGTTTAAAGAAAGAAGCCTAGTTGCCAAAATTTAATAAAATAGATATAAATAGATTTTCCAGATAATTTAAAATATGTAAACACAAATATTATTATATATTACACTCAATTTGTTTAAAATTAATTTAAAAAAAACTCTGTAAAACAAAAGTGTAATCTCTTATTTCTTAAATCATGGATTTTATTTATTTATTTTTTTCTCAGGTGGATTATTAACTAACACAAAAATTTTAGTTTATACATAATGCAGGGTGTCATGCCTTAGGACAATTTCAAACTAATATTTTCTAAGGCTGTAATTTTGTTGCAAATTTTCTGTCACTAATAATCTCACAGTTTGAATATTGATAACTGCAAATAACGATTACTTCATTCTCATTTAAAATAGAGTTTCGATCTTTCAATTTTGATGTATCAATTATTCTTTCTAAATTTATAATAAATTAGAATAAAAAAGCAATATGATTGGAAATCACAAGACTTAAAATTAGCTGCATCAATTGTGGTTATTCATAAAAATTAATAAACATATTTTTATTTTTCTTGTTTAAGATGTTTAAGCTCCTAAACAAGGATTACTTCTTTAGTGATTTATACTTGACAACAAAATTACCTTTATTTCAATTAAATAAAATCCTCTTTCTCTTTTTTACTATCCAAAATTTTCTGTGGTGTGGTTGATAATATTCTGCTGCTTCTTGCCGAACAATTAATTCCATATTTGGGTAATGGTTTTAACATTTTGTGTGTTCAAATAAAACAAAAATTTATAAAATTAGTCATTGATTATATGTTTATCAGTTATCGTAATTTAATTCTGAAATATTTAGTTGAATATTTAATGGTTTACTGTGTATATGATAAGGGAAGACATGGCTTGGGAAGACAGTTATTAATAACTTCAAGTAGTCTAAACTATTTTATTACGATAAAATATTTTACATTTATTGAAGTTATTTTGAGCCACAATTTCTGACCATCGCTTCCTTTAAAATGTTTAATTTATAAAACCAAACTTATACTGTATCTGCAGGATGTTTTGAGTTGCATCCAGCTGCAAGCAAGTTACTGAATAAGAAGCCTTATTCATCCGATCCATATCTGTTTTTATCATTGTGCTCCTCATCACTCAAACAAGAGACAATAATACAATGAAACCATGAATCAAACAAAAGAAAAGTTTGCATTGAATCATTTTGTAAAAAAATTATATATATATTTGCTGTATAACTCTTGCCTCTCTCTTTTTACCCCACTGATCATTGTTATAATTAATTTAAACGATATTATTTTTCTCAGGCTTCTGTTGTTGAAGAGAATTTGTTTTCATTGAGGAGTGGCGAACAGATTAATGATGTTTTGGAAGCACTTTTGTCCCGCCCTCATGATGAAGGATTGATGGATGCTGCTAAAGCTTCTGGTAAAATGCTGTTTGCTGATTTCCCACCCAATGTTAGAAAAGGCAAGATTGATGAAATGGTAAGTCTCCTATGTATAAATACATTAGCTGGAATACTCAACTGGATAAATGTGATAGATATTTTACTTTATTATAACTTGTTTTTAATAATACTTATTCTTTGATAAAAATGATCAAATATGAAGAAAAAGAACAATTTACCAGTACTAGTAACGGTGGGGGGAACAGATCGGACCAGAAATCTGTTATGTGGGTTTAATTTTTTTTTTTTAAGGATCCATTAGACTTTTTTTTTTAAATAATTTAAAATTAGACAATTCAAATTAAACAATTTTTTAAATAACATAAATTATTAGAATTTATAATTTTTGATTTAAAAAATTGATTTATGTTTTGGGAAACCTACCATAACTTTTTATTGTTGCAGCCGTTTCAACCCAAACATGTGGGTCATCATCAAGGCATATTTCTAGCACTGAAGATATTTAAGTACTCTGGTACCAGTACTCAGTACTTGAATACCTTCAGTGCTCGAAACATGCTCTGATCATGACCCATATTTTTGGGTTGAAACGTCGGTACCAATAAAAACTTTATAATGACTGCGTCATGAACCTTTAATATTTATGATTTATTTTTTTTAAATTTTATTAATTTATTTCAGATGAGCAAAATTAAGCATGAAATAGATGCAGAAAGTCAAAACCATGCTGCTCTGCAGCGTGAAGAACAAAACAGCGAAAATGCTACAACTAAAGCCAAGATAGCATTCTTGGTTGGAAAGAGTGAAGAGCGACTTCAAGCTCTTACAGTGCTAATGCTCCATTGTTGCGCTGGACTCCAGGACACGAGGGAAGGTGAAGAAGCCAGCTGAATTGATTTGGCATAAGTCAGCAATTACTTTTCTATTTATTTATTTATGGATGGTATTAATGGCGTATATTAGCCGAGTTTTTGAGCTGATGCTCTCTTGATTACCCTAAAGTATTTTGATGTAAACTGGGTGTATCCATATCTTTACTTGACTTCAAACTTTGAACTTTGTCAAACAATTATCAGCATTATGTATGAGTCTGTTCAAGTCAGGTTAATTTACCAGAATTTATTTTTCTATTGATATTTTCTATCCGTCAAATGGATAATGGTGGAGTAACTTGATTTGCACTTCTATTTTTCCTCACACATATCAATAACATGTCTACTAGTTTCTATAGAGATTATCATAAAATTGTCAATTTCACTGTAAATAAAATATTGATCGTTTGTAGATGGAGTTTAGAGTGATAGAATTTGTACAGATTACATTAGGCTGTTTATGAGGATTGCTATATCAGCTTTGAATGACATGAAATTGTCTGGTTAATTATTACAGAAGCAATAATAGAAGAAAATGATATGGCCAAAGGTTTAAATCCTTTGAGTTATTATTAATTTATTTTTATAAACATTTCACTTAATATGAATTAATTTTAACTATCTTGTTTATAGAATTCATCCTTTTGAATGTTCCTTCTTGTTTTTAAACATATTAGAATTTTTTTTAATCTTATGAATCAAATGCTCAAAAAGCTAAAAATATCCATTTTTTTGTCACTATTTTTCTGTTCAACTTTTTAAGTGCCAAATTTCATATTATCGTCAATTTTGTTTAAAACAATACTAATAATTTTTTCTGATGAATTTTGAATTATATGACCCTGAGATGATTACTCAGTTATTATTTTTTTGTTCCTTAAAGCTGTGGACTCCTCAAGTAGAACATTAATCATTTAGGATTATAGTTTGTATTAGATTTTGTTGATTGAATACTTAATAGTTGACCGTTGCATTATTAAGGAAGGAGATGGGTGGCGATCATAAATAGACTAAATAATGGCAAAACAAATAAAATAGTTTTGCCACTGTTTAGTCTATTTATGACCGCCACCCCGGACCATCTCTTTCCTTAGATTTTGTAGACTCTGCGGATTTTAAGCAAAATTTCTATTTATCTTGAATTTTTAGTCAAGATCTCATGTTTTAACGATTTATGAGGTTATCATTATATTTCTTTAGCGTGTTTAATAATTGTTTTTGTCTCGTGTTTTATAATTTATCTCTGAGGTTAATATTTAAATTGAAGATTTTACCAAATTTTAGAGTTTATAAACTTGGCTAGAAGAGTTTTTATAAAACCATTGAACACCAGTATTTCACTGTCTATTTTTTAAATTACAAAATAAAAATATTAAAATTGTTGATAAAGAAACAATGATGTTATCTAATTAAACTTCAAATGTTATTAATAATCTCATAAAACGTCTGGGAAGGCATGCACTTATTACGAAGTACACAGTTGTAGTACTATTGTAGTTTTTCTATTAGTTAGTTGATGTCTTTGAGATTATATACATTTGATAAAGTATTCAGTTTAGTTTATACTAGTGGAAAAATGTTGGATCTGCACTGTAGAATCTAGTCTTTGTACTAATTGCTTTAGTTTGAAACAGAAATTTCAGAAGTCTGTTACATTTACAAATACAGCCACAAAATAGGAAGTAGCAGAAGATTTTTGTGTAAACCCATAGTTATAATTTAATTTCATTAAATGGATAAAGCATTGTACTATTGCATATACATGCACAATTAAATATATATTTAAATATTTTTCAGAACTGTTTCACAGAATGAATTATTCTTAATGTCTATTAAATTATAACTTTGGTAGCAAATATTGAAAATCTTCTGTTCATTCTAGAAAAAAGTTGATTAAATGCAACAGATGCATTTCTATTCTCATATCACCTCTACTACTAATAATATCAAATTTAATATATTAACCTGTCATTTAGGCAGAGTATTAATGCTAATTTTAATATTTTGGTAATAGGTTACGATTTTATAACTCATAGGACAAACCAAATTTGGAGTCTTCCATTAATTACATTAGTATTCTATTCCTCCTCATTAATATTTTTTTCAATAAGTAGCCTCATATCAAAGACGGGCATCTGTAACCTTCAGAAAGTGGATAAAAAGCAAATTTTTGTTTATAGGTTCAACTAAAACTATTTCCAATGATTTTATTTAATAATGTTCAAGCTGAATCAAGAAAAAAAAATCATTAGAATTTTTGTTTAAATTGAAACGATCTTACAAGATTTGTTTTTTTCTTAACTTTTTAAAAATTACAGATTTTAGTGTTTGATATGAGGACACCCATGTATTGATTAATATTTTCAACTTTATTTGATTTAATCACATTTTCTCTCTTCCCTCAATAAAAACAAATCATTTAATATATTTGTTTCATTCAATTAATTAGCTTTCGATTCTGTTTGGTCTGTTAAAGAGTTTCATATACACCAAAATTTGTTTAATCTTGAAGACTGAATAATTAATGATAGTGACTGAAGGTAAACGTTAATTACAATTTTAACATAGAAAACTGCCAGTGCAATATTAAAGTACTTAAATGAGATTAAGAAAAATATTGTTTTAAAGAAATCAAAATGGGGGGAAGTATTATGGACCCCTCCATACACACTCATATATTTATTCTAGCACGAGTTATAGATTATAGACGTAAGTCTTATCACCTGGTTCCTAACTTTTCTCAGTGTTATTCTTTTTATTATGGAAATTTACACACTACTAGCTTGGAAGGAGACAGAGCTAAAACCAGGAGTTGAAACTTTTTAAAAAAGTTCCATTTTTACAATTTCTGTCAAACCTTTTAGTAAAAAATGTATATAAAATAAAAGTTCTTAGGAACTTTTATGTAATAAAGTTCTAGGTTTATGGTAAAAGTTTAAATTTTATTTATTTAAGTTACTTTTATTCTTAGAATAAGTTTCATTAAATGAGAAATAGACAGTAATTGGTTTTAGATTAGAGTTATAATTTGTCTTAAATGAATTACTTGATTCTAATGTGTTGTTTGTTTATGTAGCTTAGAATAGAAGCCATTTTTTAAATAGACTTTTCACGCTCCATGCACAAGAACAGAGTACTTTGACTGTTTCCCATTACTTAAATTGACATACTCATATAAAAAATGCCTTCTAAATATCATTGCCATTTTTGCTGACAAAGGTAAGATAACGGTTGTGATGGACCATACTGAATACAAAGAAAAACTATATACACTTTTTTTTTTGTCTCCCATTCCTAGCCTTTTAGGTTATGCGGGTTTTTTCCTGGTCCGGGAGAGAAAGCAGGGGAATTGTGTTAAAATTCCCACCGGGTACCAGGATTTGAACTCGTAATATTTTTCCATCTTACTTCTGTTATCAGGCAACTCACGGTGCTGTGAATTAGCCCACTCGCCCCTCTTTAAAACTAAATATACTTCTATCTGATCAAACGTCCCTTCTGAAAAAATGTGACTCTATTCCCTCTTTCACCATTAAATTTATTTATTTTCTTCCCACTCCCTTATCTTTCAACAATATAGGATTGCAATTTATTGAATAAAAAAAAAAAATAATCGTCTTTCCTTATGTTTCTATTTAGGAATCTCTCTTGAAATTGTGAATGAAAATTGAAATTGTGGGTATTCCTATCTCCTTTGCCTTGTTCCTATATTGAAATGGACTGTGCCTACTATTTCTTTCCGCCCATATATGAAGACCTCGTAGCATGGGTAATTATCTGCAGAGATGAGCAGACGTAATTCTTCTTCATTGAGGCTGTAGATACCGGTACCCTCAAAACCCCAAACACAGTGCAGTTGGTGATCAAATATTGGGAAATTTTCGAGACACCACAACTGAGCATAGGGGATTGATATCTTGCCAAAACTGAAACTTGGCTGAAATTCCTCAAGGCTGGTGAGAAATCGAATAACCTATTAGTCAGGTTGGACCCATCTGGCTGCTAGTAGAGATTGGACAGTGAAAAAATACTTCCTTAGGGTAGCCCCCTTTGTGGTAGTTACTCAGCACCTGTCCCATTTTTCGATGGTAGTTTCTCTTAATGTTACCTTCCATCTATTAGACCATTCCTCAATCCTCACTCGAAGGTCCTCTGGAATCCTTGCCAAGTCTTCTCTCTTATAAGCATGTATGATCAAATCTTCTTGCAGGAGATCTAGAGGTATCTCTGAAAAATTGACTGAGTCCTGATTATTTACCACCCATGATATTTTGAACTGCCATCAGTATTTGTTTATTGAATCTTCAGAAAAAAACTGACAAAACTAAAAAAATAATAATTCGCTTTCGTGTAATACAAATTAACAATGATTACGTAAATGCAAAAGTTGAACATTTTTTAATTTTTGATTTGTACCAGTCTTCTTCCAACACGCAATGTATTGAAAAATAAAGTGAATTAACAAATTAGTATTCATTTCTACCTCACAAATGTAGGTATTTAAAAGTGTGAGAAGCAAACTCATGTATTTATTATCCTCTTTCTTGTTGTACTTCTTGTAACATTTAAGTACCACAGCTGAGTGAGTTTAAGAATGGGAGTTGCAAACATTAAATGGAAATTTTTATTGAAAATTCAAGAATTTCTTTGGACAATAATGGCCATTGCAATAATAAATGTCATTTATTTATTCAAATCACAACAGATAATGTTTTATTACTATGTGATTTGTAAATCAGTATTATAATTCAAAAAGACATTTTAATTTTTCATTGTTCGAATTTGAGTATTTATTTGAGATTAAATTTCTTTAACATTTAAAATGTAATTAATACTGTTACTTCAAACCTACAAAAATTAATTTACTATAGTTTTGCTTAAAATTAAAAAGAAATTATTTAGTTTTGTCTGACATGGTGAAAAAAAGAAAAGGAAACAGTACCTTTTTTCTCATTTTTTTTTCTTCTTATTTCCTCCTATTCGGTCATATCTGGCAAGGGAGATTGATGGTGGGGGAGGGAGGAGTAGTTATCCTACAGGTAACCAACAAGGGCATAGCCAGAAGGGGAGGCAATTGTTTGAAAAGGAGCGCAATCAAATAGTTTCTGTCAGAATGTTGAAATACTAAAAACTGATCTGTCTCTGTTTATAGATGTTTCTCAAATTTATTTGTTTATATTTCTTTAAAACATATAATTATATAAATATATATTATATAGGGAGTGGAGTGGGATAGATCAGTGGTAGGGTACTGACTAACAATGCTCAAGGTCCCTGGTTCGAATCCGGCTGATGGCAGATAAATTATTTATTCTATTTCGTCAGCCGTGGAACAACCCTGGGGCATAGTAGGTATTCTTAATTAAATAATTAATTAAAGGAGAAAACCTGGCGAATGTTTTCTCACCTCCTTGCACAACCATTGACCAAGAAACAGTACTTCCTTACTAAGTACTGAACCCAAGACCTTTCATAGATTGTAGTGGTGCAGATTTATATATATATATTTGATTTTTTTTCATGTTGGAAGGTTAGGTA